GTCACATAAATTTTTCACTTTCTTGAACTGACTTTAAAACTTGCTACAATGACCTTTGGTCAAGGTTACGACCTAATCTTAAATTAAAAGTTTCAACTTCCAATTCCGATCTATATTACTATATAAAGAAAGATGAAGTGGACACAATCTTTTGAAGAATAAAAATTCTCTCAGTGACTTTGAACTTGATGATAAATTTGTACATGTATATGTATAACCATTATATTTTGAAAACTTTCATTTGTTAATGTTTTACCATTAGGAAGTTAAAGACAGGACAAAAATCATAGACATAATATATTTTTCTGCCAGTGACCTTGGACTTGCTAGAATGACCTTGAGTCAAGGTCAGAATATTTGTACCATGTTAAGAGTACACTTTTAAAGATCCTCCATAATAAAGTTATAACCCTGACAATATTGCACGACAGACAGACGATTTCTAAATTAACCCCAGCCTTTGTTTGTGCAAGGGGGAGGGGGGTTATAATAAGAATGTTTGCAATGACTTAAAAGATGACCTTCAATATTACTTGCCTCATCTGGCCTTACTCAATGTATACTTGTAGTCTAGTCATTCTACTGAAAAACGAGAACTAATTGCAACAGTTCATATTTTAATGCAGATTTGTAGATAAGCTATTAGTAACTCACATATAAAAAGTTTAGAAAAATTCACTCAGGGGAAAGTTGGGAAATCGAAAGATTAAAATTAGGGATCAATATGAATTTAGAATTACCCATTTGCACACCGTACTTTTTCTATATGAGCTTTCTATGACAGACAGCCTGTAAACAATAGCCATTTAGCATTAAAAGTTGTTGTTTTAACCTGTAGTTTGATATGCAGTCAAAACTGAATAAAAAAAATTATACATTTTGATTTTCAAAGAAGTGAAGTTTTGACTTCCACACCGGCCAAATATCATCTACACATGGTTGCAATTACCATTCATGTAAACAAAATGTATGGAACGCTGTTTGTATTCACAATATACATGTATGTGAAATTCCTAATTGTGAATGTGTTTACTTTCATTTTATTTTTAAACACCTGATGGACATTTATACCTCAGTAGTTTTGCAATTTATAGACAAGAATCAAAAAATGTATGGAACACAGTTTGTATACAAAATAAGTCAACACAGCCTTTTCTAAAGAATTCAGCAAGGAAGCTTATCAGACAAGTACAATGTATATCAGAGCTGTAATATGCATCATCACAGAATATATTTTGATTAAATATCTAGAAAATTTATAGAAAATTATCATTTAGAAATAAAGAGTACAGAATTTATGGAATCACATGAAGATTTGATTTGAAGGTCTCTAAGTTTAAAAAAATCAAATATTTAATTCTATTCAGGCATCTCCGGAACTTAAATTTGAACTGTGTGATTCAAACAATTTTTTTGCTCTCCAGATTTACTGCTTATTGCTTTTGTAAAGAGTAGCGAACCTTATATAAAAAGCCAATTGATATTGACCTTTTGATTTCTCTATAAAGACTGCACCATGCATCTATACATGTACAAAAGCTGCATTATGTTTATAGTAATGGAAATAAATCAAATGGAATCGTTTAGACAGAATTAAATGCTTAAATGCTCATTTCTAAAATTCTTAATGTAACTTTTTAACAAAATATTTTAAACCCATTTTTAAAAACTTTAACTTCTCCTTGTAGATCATATGATCATTTTTGCAACAGTAAAATGCCTGATGCGGCACTTATTGAAGCTCCATTTTATGGGGACTGGTGATAACGGCGTTTCCATGAGCATGCTTTAGAATGTGAACAATCTGGAACACTTTCAAAGTCACTTCTTAATAAGAGCAACCATGAAAAAAGAAAAGTAGATGGACGTGAATCTTTCTACTATTATTGTATATTGTTTAACGTCCCTCTCGAGAATTTTTCATGCATATGGAGACGCCACCACTTGCCGGTGGAGAGCTGCACATTTTGTTCTATACTCAGCACTTAGGGCCATTAAGCAGTGAGGGATCTTTTTCGCGCCAGTGCCTACTGCGACACGGGACCTCGGTTTATACGGTCTTATCCGACCGGTCTCTACATCCCACAGTGGGATTCGAACCCGCGACGTAAGGATCGACACCTTACTTCGCAACTCTAGAGCAGATGCTCTAACCACTGCACCATGCGGGTGAATTCCTAGATTAAAGCCGAAGTCTAATAATTTCTATTACTGTTAGGATAAAAATATTTGGGAAAATATAACAAACATTAATAATACTTTTACATATGAATTTGAACAAGTAAAAATTGACTAGCAGTATCTACCAAGAGTTTAACATTTAATTCTTCCTTGAAACAAATACTTGGCTTGCTCTCTTTTACTTCATTTCATTTATGTAAGTGCTTTAATTTAACCTTAGATTTTTTTTATCAATAAGAATAAAATAATCTACTGTGTGCTTTCAATTGCCCCCACCCTCTTCAAGTAAAATTACATAGCAACGGTTTGAAATACATTAAGATTTAAGAAGGGTAACAATATAATAATTATTAGCTGCGCAGGACCTTTGCGTGCACATTTCACGATATTTTGTACTCAGTGCAATTTAAGTACTGTTGATTCGGTTACATGTTGGTCAACAATGATCATTTTCAAGGGATAACAATTTCAGATTTTATCCAAAAACGTGTCTTATCTTCATATTATTGAATGTAGTTGAGGGTTACACTGAAAAAAATCTTGAAATATTTTTTGGAATATCACCATCCATGAAGCAACATTAAATGTTGCTATGTTCTTATCACACCGGAGAGCGTGGTTTCATTTTATGGAGGGAAGAAAGAAATACATTGATCCACTTGATATGAGTAAGATAGCATTTTTATTAAACTCGTGACAAGAAATACCCTGTAGGGTACCCGGATGTGGGATGGGTTCAAGTTCTGATCAAGCAAGAACCATCATACTCATTATAGTGTACAAGCATTTTATGATACTGATGTAAACAGAGTATTTTTTTTATTATTTTATACAAGTTACCAAGCAATCATATTGCAGGGACTCAAAACTGGTGTCAAAAGTTGAAAGAAAATTTTCTGAATGGTGGACAACACAACTACAATGTAATCTATGGGGAACAGCTTTGCTGTGCGTAAAAAAAAATTCAGATTTTAGAATATTTTTTGACAAAAAAAAATTAACAACCTACCTAATCCAGAATAAAAACATAAATCTATTTCGGGGAGGAATGGGGTTCTATGAGATCTTCCCACAATTTTCTTCATATACGGGGAAAACCTTTCAGTTACAGGAGGGATTCAGGTTTTTTTTTCTTGGGGGGGGGGGGCATTTTCTGCTACTTTTTCATAAAAAAATTCTTATTGGGGGATGTCCCCTGACCCCTCTAAATCTGCTCCTAATTATTTTCGGATATTACCTTTCATATGAATTAAAACATTTTTATTGTTTCTTAACTTTTGGTGATTGAGTATATTCGTGCTATACTTAGCATTGCTGAATACCGAAATTTTTCATGTAAAATTCATATATAATGTATCCATGGTTACCACCTCTTTACATAAATCTTCCAAATAATTTCTTTGAAGCATTTATGGCAAAAGAGTGCATTTTGAGTATGTGTGTAAACTAACGTAGTGACTGTATTCGTGTTTGTAAAGGTTCATTGTTCAAATTGATATTCTCAATTTGTACTGTTTCCATGGCAACCAACACATATAGTAACCAAAATTTAATATATTTCCAATTCAGTTTATTCAGTTAAGTTTATTTCCCTACTTACATGTTTTTTTTTTAAACCAGTATAGAAGTTTCTACTTTACATTGTTCGTTTAACACTTAATCAGAGTGAACACAATACGTCCCAATAATGACCTCAATTTTTCAATTTTCCCATGTATAAATTTTTCTAAACTTTTTGTTATATATTCAGATCATATCATAGATTGATTAAAACTAAGTTTTGAAACTGTTGCAATTAGTTCACATTTTGATGGAAAATTTGATAATTTGACTAGACTGAAATCAAAAACCGATGCACAGAATTATGTATCTTTGTGTAGTCTACTTGTGTGCCAAATTATATTGAAATCAGACCAAAACTGTGGGAGGAGTATCATTTTGAAAGAATTTCCCAGAAATTTCTATTTTTAGTAACCACGGTAACACCGTTCATCGAAATCAAAAACCGATGCACAGAATTATGTATCTTAGTGTAGTCTACTTGTCTGCCAAGTTCTATTGAAATCGGACCAAAACTGTAGGAGGAGTAGCATTTTGAAAAATTGTTTACAGACAGACAGACAGATGGACGGACGACGGACGCATTACTATCACATAAGCTCTTCTGGTCTCTGACCAGTAGAGCTAAAAATGATACATCCTATGGTCACATAAATTTTTCACTTTCTTGAACTGACTTTAAAACTTGCTACAATGATCTTTGGTCAAGGTTACGACCTATCTTAAATTAAAATTCCGATCTATATTACTATATAAAGAAAGATGAAGTGGACACAATCTTTTGAAGAATAAAAATTCTCTCAGTGACTTTGAACTTGATGATAAATTTGTACATGTATATGTATAACCATTATATTTTGAAAACTTTCATTTGTTAATGTTTTACCATTAGGAAGTTAAAGACAGGACAAAAATCATAGACATAATATATTTTTCTGCCAGTGACCTTGCACTTGCTAGAATGACCTTGAGTCAAGGTCAGAACACATCTTGAGGTCATATACAATATTTGTACCATGTTAAGAGTACACTTTCAAAGATCCTCCATAATAAAGTTATAACCCTGACAATATTGCACAGACAGACAGACAGACAAGATGATTTCTAAATTAACCCCAGCCTTTGTTTGTGCAAGGGGGAGGGGGGTTATAATAAGAATGTTTGCAATGACTTAAAAGATGACCTTCAATATTACTTGCCTCATCTGGCCTTACTCAATGTATACTTGTAAATCTATCTAAAATTAGCTGTGTTTTTACCATGTCCAAAACTGGTCCCGAGGGCTAATGCATGTTTGCCGGACTTTTTGTGCTTTATGTTAGTTGCCAAGATGGTGGATTTGATGTTCTTTACGGTATCTTTTGATGTCACAGATACACTCCCGCACTGCCTCTGAAATAGAGTTATACAATTTATATACACTGTATACTTCTGTTTAAACAATTCATCTAAATATGGTCCTCAAGCTATTGTAAGTAAAAATTGCAACAATAAAATCCACATATATTTAAATAAAAACATTTTTTTTTTACAATCGAACATATCATTGTTAAACTTATATTATGAAATACTTCTACTTGAAAAAAAAATATTTTCAACCTTGAAAATTTGACAATGAGGAAATTTGACGAAATAGACAATTCATGAGCTGATTCAAGAATATAATTCATGAACTTTTCTTCAAAGTTCAAGAATTATTCTTGATCATTTCGCAGGGGTATGACTTTTAAATCAAAGTTTCCCTACACTTATCCACTTTCTCATCCAATTTAAAGAGCATTTAAATGTTAAATATTAAAATACTAGAAGAGTAATGACTTAAGCTACTGCTTTTATGAGGCCTAGCATAACCAATATATTTTTTATAACAAAGTCCTTGTCAAAATGTCAAGGTATCCAAAGTACCAGACCTCTTATTTACAGTACAGGTACCTAATATTCATTACATGTAATAAGTTTGCCTTAATTCTCTCCCCTTTACCTTTAATTCTCACACAAGAATTGTTGAAGTACATTTATATTTCATTTGTTTTAGCATAAATACATGCAGTCATCATATTTTTTTTCCATAAGACTTGCACACATTACATATGCAGTCTATGGCAAGGAGAAAAAGTATGAATGTCAAAGCAGGTGGTGGTAGTGTGGGGTGGGGGTGGAGGGGGTGTTCACCTTCATGCAGAATATTTGGTAACCTGCTTAACTTAGCTATAAGTATGATCCATCTTCATTTTAAAAAAAATTCCATGAGCAAGTACATGTATATATGTATGTCAATATTCATTCAAAAATTTACCTATATTTTAGAACAAATCAAATTTTAAAAAAGGATACATCTGTGATTATAGGCTTATAGAAATTAATGCTTGTAAAGTTTGTCTGCATGGTTTTTTGATAATTAAGGAATATATTTGAAATAAGTATTTAACCAGAAGTCTCTGTTGAGACTGAAGCTCTACTGGTTTGTACTTATAGGAAAGGAAGAGAAAAGTACTTAAGCAGTTGGAAATTGAAACTTTTCAACAGCAATAAATAGAATAATGATCCTTGATTAAGTCTCTTTATGTTCTTAGTGCAGTCTACTTGCATGCCACATTTATATTATAATCAGACTAAAATTGTATTTGGAGTAGAATTTTGAAAGAATTTCACAGAAATTTCTATTTTTAGTAACCACGGCAACACCGTTCATCAAAAGCAAAAACCGATACACAGAATTATGTATCTTATTGTAGTCTACTTGTGTGCCAAGTTATACTGAAATCAGACTAAAATTGTAGAAGGAGTAGCATTTTGAAAGAATTTCACAGAAATTTCTATTTTTAGTAACCACGGCAACACCGTTCATCGAAATCTAAAACTGATGCAAAGAACTGTGTATCTTAGTGTAGTCTACTTGTGTGCCAAGTTATATTGAAATCAGACTAAAACTGTAGAAGGAGTAGCATTTTGAAAGAATTTCACAGAAATTTCTATTTTTAGTAACCACGGCAACACCGTTCATCGAAATCAAAAAACGATACACAGAATTATGTATCTTAGTGTAGTCTACTTGTGTGCCAAGTTATATTGAAATCAGACTAAAACTGTAGGAGGAGTAGCATTTTGAAAGAATTTCACAGAAATTTCTATTTTTAGTAACCACTGCAACACCTTTCATCGAAATCAAAAACTGATATACAGAATTATGTATCTTATTGTAGTCTACTAGTGTGCCAAGTTATATTGAAATCAGACTAAAACTGTAGAAGGAGTAGCATTTTGAAAGAATTTCACAGAAATTTCTATTTTTAGTAACCACGGCAACACCGTTCATCGAAATCAAAAAACGATACACAGAATTATGTATCTAAGTGTAGTCTACTTGTGTGCCAAGTTATATTGAAATCAGACTAAAACTGTAAAAGGAGTAGAATTTTGAAAGAATTTCACAGAAATTTCTATTTTTAGTAACCACGGCAACACCGTTCATCGAAATCAAAAACCGATACACAGAATTATGTATCTTAGTGTAGTCTACTTGTGTGCCAAGTTATATTGAAATCAGACCAAAACTGTAGGAGGAGTAGCATTTTGAAAAATTGTTTACAGACAGACAGACGGACAGACAGACAGCTAGACAGACGGATGGACGACGGACGCATTACTATCGCATAAGCTCTTCTGGTCTCTGACCCGTAGAGCTAAAAATTGACATTTTATTTTTGCAAGAGTACATACAGCCAACTGTGTGAGGGAAAGATCATAAAATTAAGTTTTAAAAATGATTATATCCCTATTTTTGTGAACCATTTTATTAGAGGAAATTTTGATCTAGTATGACACTTTAATGATTTTATTATTCAGGAGTTACAAATTATATCATATTAAGGGCACTGCAAAGCAAAGCATCCTCTCACAAAGAGAAATTATCTATAAATCAAAGAAAGCATTCTACATCTGAATCCCTATGCAGATTAAAAAGTGACTTCACCCACAGCATATATAATTGCATAATACTAAATCCCCTCGAACTCAATTGCCAGGGGATAACTTTTACCTTTGGGCTGAAGTTTATGACAATTAAATCTCTGTGGACCTCACCACCATTAAAATTTTGATTTTTTTTTTTGGGGGGGGGGGGGAGGTAGGGTCAAAGTAGCATTTTTTCCAGTTGAATTAAGAGATCAATTTGGCTGGTGTAGCCAGTTCCTGGAGAGAGCACGGATTTATATAATATAGATTGACATTCTTATTTGGGGGATCTTGATGAAAAGTTGTCTCCCAGCTCTTTATAAGTCATTATTTAAACCACCCCCCAAAATTTTAAAACCTACACAATGATAAATGTCCAAAAGTTCATGTGTACTTCTACATGTACAATTAAATTATTAGTATGAAAATAAACTGTGAACATATGTATTGACTGCTAATTGAGATTAACATTTTGATCAAATGTGTGGTTTAATACTTTTGCACTCTTTTATATAACATTTGATTTTCATTCCTATGATGTAAGTAATATTACTGGTACATACATGTATAGTAAGTACAACACTTAGGACCTGTTGCCTCGATCATTATAATTTACACAACACAGCAGGCATAAACAAGTAACAATTAACAGAATCTGATGAAGTTAAATAATTAAAGTATAGACCTATACAGACTTTCTTAAAAATCAGTTAAATTACCATATTAGTAAGCAAATAAAATATATTGTTTTTTTTTTAACCTACAGTGTAACCTTTGTTTAGAGATTACCTGAAATCTGTACAGATGAGAATTTCTAAGAGATAAGTTTATGTGGCCGATTCCTTACATGTATACTTCAGTACATTGTATACACTAATACTTATCAACTTCAAAAGGATCCCAACCATACTATCTAATATAAGATTAGTTGCACAAGCATTTAATCTTAAACCCTAAAATAGGAGATCAATTCTTATATACATCTGAATTTATCTGCAGGATAAAGCAATATACTGGGTACCAAAGTTTCTTATAAAGATATCCATATCAAATGAATCAAGTTAACAATCCATTTTCTAATCAAATATAGAAATGTATTTTCAACCAGTATGCATTTTAATATCAGATATGACATGTTCCTTGACATAATTTCCAAAGAATTTGTCAACTTGAGGTACCTTAATAAGCATGCATGTATTTATTTGTGCAAGACATCACAGGATGATGTTTCTTAATATATAATAATATACTGCATGAATCCCTTGAATTGTTAATTATTACATGAATTATAATTTTTGGTGAATCATTACTTTTAAATTCAAGACATATATTGAAAATGGTTTGGAAATCCCAAAACTTGATTAGTATAATCTTTAACTTTGACATCTGGCTGGGGGACCTTAAATACCTGGTAATATTAAATCAAAATAGAAATAAAATCTGAAAAACTTAAACAGCTCGATGATGAAAAAAATGGCCTTCCTTAAAAACACAAATTATATTTCTTTCTACAAAAAAGAAAAAAATATATACAAACTTTAAATTTGTCCAAAAAATCCCAAATTTTGAGATAAATTCCCAGGACACAGTGAGACAATTACGCACTATATAGATACATAGATACTGAAGGATTACGAGACAATGTCTTGGCTACTGCTATCAACAGGTGTTATCGGCAAGTGTTTGTGTACATGCATAATACATGGATAATGCCTCTAGGTACAGGGACTAGAATACAGTAACTGTCACTGACCCTCTGGGACCAATTGTAAACACAGTGGGGTCATTAAGTCCGTATCATGGCAATTTTATGATGAGAACATGAAAAAATTAAATTAATTACCCAGGCACCCATTGTAACCCTATACTCTGCTTCATGACAATTTTATAATAGGAATCTGGAGTGAATAATTAACTCTATTTTAGCCAAGTCCATGATGGTCAATGTGCTAGAGGCAAGGAAATTTAATAAGCGTTGAAACACTATGAAATTGCCATCTTGTCTTGGAGGAGTTAAGTCCCTTTCAAAGAGACTTGCTCTGCAGGCAAGCTGAGAATTTAAAGTTTAAAGTAATTGATTTATCCCTCTTTTTATTGGGGTGTTGAATCAATAAGGCTCCATTTGAAGATATATTGATTATTATACCTATAAATCAATGCATTAACACATTGGACAATGGATTATTACCTATTCAATGGTAACCAATGATTGCATGACTTAATAGATCTAATGATGGAGCCAGCTAGGGAACATACAGTTTAATGAACTTGTTAATTAACTTCCTCCACTGAACTAAAATTAATGTATCTGCATGTCTCCACCTAATTTAATTTAAGGCAACTACCAACTAATATAAGCTTTTAATGTAATTGCATGCATGCACACAGTGTTTAGTTTTGGTACAGTACTAGAACATGTATAATGTATCTTTCGATTCTCAAATGGCGTAGTGAAATGCATATGAATGCATGCGTGTTTTATATCTGTATTAAATAGCTACTGGTATTATTTTTCCTGTATGTCATTAATATTTATACATTGTGAATTGATTATATACTGTTAATTAAAAGCTGAGTCTGTGATCTTTAAAATTAGAAACATTTAAACATACATATATAAATGTGAAAAAGAACCACTTATATTGAAACCTCCAGCTAGGACAACATTTAATTAAAAATATAAACTTTTGACAGATTGCAAAGATCTAAAATTTATTGTTCAGTACAGTGTATTAATTAAGATTTTTAAATTAACATACACATATCTTGTATGGAATATAGTACATGTGTATGTGAAGATGACTTAACTGATCATCTGCAAGTGTATACCTTCAAATATTTCAACAATCTTTTTGGACATTTTAATTTTTTTTTGGGGGGGGGGGGGGGGGGGGGGGGGCAGGGATTAAAGTTATGAAACATAAACAAAGGCATATTTATGGTACTTGTTCCACATTGCTGATTATGTAAATTTGAAGTTCAAAAAAAGTGCAATACATTTTTTGCTTGATTATTTTCTGAGTTGCAAATGGAATTTTACACACTGTATCCAAGATTTTTATCATTTGCCTGCTAGGCAAAACTATGTAAAAAGGTAACAGACTTGTACAAGTTGAAGAACAATTATGCAGACTGCATGTATTAAATTTCTAAATCACCTTTTCACTTATGTTTAAAAAAATTCAGAATTTAAATTTAAATTATTAGGATTTTCAATACCTAGAGACCAAATTGTAAATTGTGCTTTATAGGGGTGTGTGGGTAAGTTGATTTCTTGACATTTAAAACTTTAAATTACAGTGAAATAAATCCTGGAAACTTAATTGCAAATCAAATCAAATCAATCTGATCATCATAATTTCTTTTTTCAAATTTAAACCATTAAACCATAGTGTTCCAAAACTAACGTACCCAGGTAATTCTATTAACATACACTTAACCCCAGCACAGTATGTAAACAACATTTCAATACGATGTTGGTCTACCCATTACCGACTTTAAAATGACTCTGAGGGTGTAAGGAAATTGACAACAACAATATATTACCTCTTCCAGGCCAGTCCGTTGTGTCGGATTGGCGGTGTATGCAAACCAGACCATTAGCTGGTTATATACAGAGATAGAGTACACACAGTTTGTCACAATGCCTTAGACAAACAAATGCCAATGTTTGTCTATACAATTTGTTACAACTATGTAAGTCTTGGGTAATCCATTTTTGACAGAGTAAAGGGTACAATACATGGCATAAAAGGTGGGAATCTTGCGATATCTCGACCCTACAAGTTCCGATGGGAACAATTGAAAATTCTGTCTCAAATAGTTCACACTTCTTGTATTATCACATGAAACAGTTTTTAAGTTTAAATTAAATATATGAAAAGAAAGTACATGCATCCATCTTGAATAATGATCGATCCATTTTGTTGTTGAGTAAAATGTTTTCCTTTAATCACATTATGGATTTGTAAGGTCTTCCATTAATCATATATTTTAGTGTCCTCTTTCCAACACACAAATCAATTATGCAAAATCCTTGCGGAAAGATCATCTACATATATACTAGCTGTTAAGTCCTTGATTCCTCATAATGTCAAGAACACACTGTCCTAGGAAGTTAGCCCGACTTTCCCATGGCCTTATGTCAGTCCTAATTAATTTTTGGAGACAATGTCCAGCTCTGATGAACAAGTCATTCACAGAGAGAGAGAGAGAGAGACGTGTTAATGTACATTGATAGTGATCAATAAAAACAATTGAGTCGTGTACGGCCATTTCCACAGGGCAAACTCTTCATTCTTCTTCTCTTGGTGACAATTCAATCAAATCGAGCATCATCCCCTCAAACACTTTCACGGGTTTTCATTACAATCCATAATTAAGTGTCATAGACACATTTTGTTTCACATTCAAACAAAAATCAACAAATCTTTTATGTTTAACGTTTCTGCAACAACAAATGCACAACACATGTAAACAATGTAATTTGGTAAATGTATGAAAAATCAGTAGGCACGCATTGTGTCAATTCCAGCAGAAATATGAAGACCCTATTGTGACATCAAATTACTTTTTAAAGTGTATTAGCATTTAGTTGATCATCATTAACAATTCATGGGTTCCCTTGTCCAGAGCTGCAAAGATCACGCTTTAGGATATAGCATTAACACAAAGCATATTAATATTGTGCCTCAATGTATGTAAATACAATGCTTTTTGGTGCAAATGCAAATATAGTCTCCCATTCTGGCTTCTGCAAAGCTGTCAGTTGTGAATACGTTAAACAGCAAGATAGTTGCTAGACAAGAAATACAACAAAATTTACATTTAATTTGGAAGAACTGTCTTTGAAATTAACCTCTAGTCGGGATAAAGATTTCTAAAAAGGTAAAACAATATCATAATCATGAATAAACAAACTTTAATTCCAGAAAAAAGGACCTTGCTGTGTTCTTATTTAGGAGGAGGATGTTGAATGAACAAAAGCTGTTGATAATGTAGAGGAATTTAAAGAAGAAATATTGAATGCCTAAACCCCTACATCACAAGTCAGGTGCTAAAGCGAGATACTCAGGGCTAATATTATCCTTAGCCCAAACTGTATCCTCCCTCCTTGAATTGTCTTTGCCCTCAAAGACTCAACTAATGTCCTGGCCAGGCTTTCACCTGTAACTCCAAAGGGGGAGGGGGTGTAAATCACACTCGGCGATGGAACAGGACAGAAGGAAATGTATGGCTGGACCAGGAATGAAACTTGGAACCCCTACATTACTGGTCAGTGGCTCAATGTGTGGCTACATCTTCTGAGCTATCCAAACCGATATCCAACATCCAAACTTTATTACACAAACAATGAAAGATTAATTATTTAGTCATATGGTAACAGATATAGTCTGTGACCAAATAATGTTAAAAATCAGATTCCAGTGGATGGCCCTTAACTGTCTGTAAGGTACTTTTGATGGGACCATATAAAACAGAGGTCTCATTTCGCAGTAGATGCTGGCACGAAAAAGATCCCTCGTTGCTCAATAGCCCTGAGTGCTGAGCACTAAGGTGCTATAGGTCAAAATTTGCAGCTCTCCATGAGCAAGAGGTGGCATCTCTCTATGAGTGAAAATTTTTGGAGGTCTTTAAACACACTTCTTTATCCATTTTTTGGGGTCCCAGTCCTGCTTATGGACTTTGGTTGTATCCCTTCAAGGAATGCACTATCAGATGTTCAAGATTAAATTGATCTGTGGTAAATGCAGTTTTTATAAAACTATATTTTCATCTGCCTTAACATCGATTGCTTCAATTTTAGAGTTACCTTTGGAAAAAAAAACCTCAGTACCATAGGACAAATAATCTATAATGTAACCAGACCTTCCTTAATTTGTTTCAAATACTTTTCTATTAACAGCTAGACTACACTCTTAATGAAGTTAATCTAAATGGTTTTTCATTATCAGCAATAAATATTTAGCAATTATCAGCAATGAATATATAGATGGTAAATATAGTCAGTACATGTAACTTTTAAGAAATATGATTGGCATTATATCTATACAAAAATAGTCTGTTGTGATAATTTAATTATGCCTAACTCACGTACACATTAATTATAGATTGAAATGTAATCTTTAAAATAAAAAATATCTAAATTCCTACACTTGAAATGAAAAAAAGTAAAAATAATTCATTTTTTTAAAATTATAATGTTAAAAAACTAGAGGTACTGTGAGTAATGCGTAACAGACGGATGGCTGGTCAGATAGACAGACTTATCAGACGTACAAACATAGACAGACGGACATCCAGATTATTATATATACTCTCGCTTTTCAAGCAGTACGTGGGGTATAAAAAGGTTCTTATATAGCAAGAAATGCATGATTGCTAAATACTAGTTCATGTACTGAACTTCTCAGAAAGTACAAAATTTTAATCCAATCTTTATGAAAATGGTCTGCAGTGACAATTTAAACATGCTTACTTCACACCTGGCATACGACAACGCATGGTATTCGGAATATCTCTCTTGAAAAAACAAACAAGAAAAGCGTGCGTGCCAATTATTAAATCATCAAGTTTTTTGCCACGTCTATCCCAATGAAAAACACCACAAAACAAACTTTATTCAATATACTGGACAGAATTTTGGTTGAGAATGGCTTAATACTATAATCTTGTTTTAAAATTATTAAGAGTGATTTACCCACAATAAGCATATGAATCCCTGAAATAGCACAAATTCAAAGCCTTTTATGATTGGGTTTGACGAATAGCCAAATTGTGTATGGGTTAATAATCCATCATGTTCTATCTAAACAAACTAATCATGTATTTATAATTCTGCGGTTTAAATATTTTGTGTCGTCTCTTTTAAAAAGAGAAGACAGATGGTTTTTAAATTACATATAAAAAAATCATACCGACAATTTAATATTGAAAACTTTTTCAAACGCAAGTAAATTTCAATGAATCATACATGAATGACTTGCAAATGACTGAAAGCATGAACCCAGGTTTGCCGATTTCTGTGATAATTTCATCAAATTTCGGTATCTTTCTTCAACAGATCTTCTGGTTAACATGTTTAAGATGCTTAAGACAAACTCCGATTTTTTTTTCGCATCAATTATTGTATCAGACCGTACCACCCACAAACAAGTTCTGTATAACAATATCGTAATTCGCCGCACCACAAAACAAGTCACCCGGACCTTAGATCAGCTATCAGAAAAGTCAGCCCCCTTAGACAGTTAATACATAGATAACAGAGTCAGATTTAATTTGCGTGAAAACACGAAATCTAAACAATAAATAAAATGCACCCAATTTTGGTTTTCAATACCTTATTTTTATCCGTACCTTCAAAATCTGTCACCATACTCCTATAAAAAGACTGTCGAATTGAAATTTTAAAGTTGATCATGAATCGTACAGAACGTTATGAATCACGGTATTTGTGCCTGAGATTCAAACACAATGCACTCTACGCATTATTTTGTACCCAGTATAAATGTTACACCCTTCATTGTTTGCTATTCCCTGCATGAACTCTCCAAATGATTAGATATTTAAAATCTATATTTTTTTTGTAATTATGTACAACAGATAAAGAGATCTGTAGATACAATCATTTTTGTGAACTTCATTCTTTTCTTAAGTTTACAGACTTCAGGCATTATAGTATTTTATTATCATGTAACTCCTCAATCATACAAAAATATCTGAATGCATGGGTTAATGGGTCTATTGTTCATATTCTCATCACATTCATATTCAAACCCAGTGCTCAAAGTTTTCAATGAATTTCTTTCCATACAGATTTACACACTTAGTAAGAACACTGTGCAGACTTGCCAATTAACAGATTTTTGAGAGTCATGCATGATCTCGGGCAAAATTCTGAACAATTTCATATAAAACGTTCATATATGATTATTATTAATTCTAGTGATACTAAAATAGATTCTCTGCATTAATATGGACCATCTTATTTTACATCACTATCAAAAACCTAATGTTTCTATAATTCTTAATATCCCACAAATCAGTGGTGACCACCAAAAAATTCAAGCACTTCATGTACATGTAGTTTGAAGCAGATAAATGCAGATTGCAAATTCCTGATTTTTTTTTCAGCCAATATAGTGTTTATTGAAGTTCATGTATTATGAACATGAATGCAATTGTTCTTATCTATAAATTCATGCACTTGAAAAGATAAAAATGTGTATTTACACTAACCCATGTATAGATATTTTTCAAAAACAGGTATTCAAACTATTCAGTGTTGCCTCCTCCCTCCCCTTTTATAAAAGAAGAAATATGAGGAAAAGATTTATAAATTCACCAAATTTAGGCAAATATTTTACATCTTGTTGACCAGATTGCACAAATACTGCATAACAGTTGAGCAAGTTGTTGCAATTTGTCTTCAAATCTGTATACACATTGGAGGAAAACATATTACACTTTGTTTTTATCATTTCAATTTCAAATTTCAACTAAAAGATATGTCACACATAAGATCTTATAGTCCCCTCCCTCCCAAACAACTGTGTTTTGGGCATTTTTTTAGGTACATAACTGTACGTTTTAACTCACCGAAGGGTAACAGGTGTGAATGCATGCAGCAAGTAGAGCTGCCATAAACATGCAGTCTGTACATAATCCTGTTAAAATCAATGATCACCTATAAACACAGTATTTCACATACTGAAAGTGAGCAGGATGGATGGTGACCATTAAATTGTCTCTGAATGGTCAGGGTTCAAAGTTGGTCAATTAGCAAGAGATGGCTGCATGTTTTTTTCTGTGCAAAGTTAATTCTTCATGCAGTTGCCTCTTTTCTTAACTGCATGAACATGCAATTTTTAAATCTTAATTTTGACATGATCGATCAACTCAGATCAAGTAGAATCTGAGTTTCAACACAGCCATCAGTAACCCTCATCAAAGATTCTTTTTTTTTAATGGTAATTTATTTATGTGTACAAAGTACATGTATATGCATGTACTTCTACTTATATTTCATTTATCAAATAATGATAAAAACATTATTGAAAATTTTGAAAAATTCAAAAGCAAAATGAAATATATTGAGATAATGAACAGTATTCAAGCTCAAAAGGTCCATTAAACAATTCAAAACATGAGCTGAGGAAGCACAGACCTCCAAAACATCAGAGGTGGGATCAGGTGCCATGGAGCAGTGAGCATCCCATGCCCACCGGTCACACCTGCCGTGTGCTCCTTGTCATGATTGGGAGGCTGATCAGACCTAGGACTGTCAGGAGAGAAAAATTTTAATATTGGGATCTGTACAGCAATACACAGGGTTTAAACTTAACGCTCGCCCACTCGCAAATTGCGAGTAAAAATTGGTGTGGGCTCATAAAATTTGTAAGTTGTTCGCCCACGTGGCGAATAAAAATTCTGCAGGGGACCGAATTCATTCCCAGTCCCCTTACTGAAAAACAGACATTTTATGCAGGTTTTTGATTTAAAACTACAGAAAAATGAAATAAATCACAGCAGTATGGTCCTATTGTTCGTAAATATTCTTCATCTTTTCCATTTAAAGTACTAAACGATTTGTGAAATTCCCTAAAACGATCGTCTTTTTTTTCCTAATCCGAATTTCCTCCAACCCTCTGTAAATGGTTGATACGTGAGA